TGTGATCCATGTCCATTTCACTTTAGTAATACAAAGGAACTCAGCATAAATATTTATTTCCAAAGCCTCATCTAAAAGGTACTGAATCCAACCCTGGGCAAGCGGTCACTCCATGACTTCGAAACACTGTTTCTGTACAAAGAGGTTATTTGATCCCGGGGTTGGCCTTTCCCCCTGAGATCAGGAAGTATCACAAGCATGGTGTGATAACCTGGGATTCAGCACTTTAAAATGAGGGTTTACCTGGCTGGTGTAGCTCAGTGGATTGAGCATGGGCCTGTGAACCACATGATCGTAGTTCGATTCCCAGTCAGGGCACATGCCTGGGTTGCAGGCCAGTTCCCAGCAGGGGACTCACGAGAGGCAACCATACATTGATATTTCTCTCCTTCTCTCCTTCCCTTCTTCTCTAAAGATGAATAAATAAAATCTTTTTAAAAAACGAGGGTTTAAAAGATAACTTTTTGTTATGGGACAATTCAAATGTATACAAAAATAAAGGAGGAATAAAATGAACCTTCATATGCCCATCACCCAGTTTCAGCAATTGTAAAGTCCCAGCCAGGCTCACCCCTTCCTCCCACCCACTGACTGCCCCCTAGCTCTGCTAGATTTAACCGAAATCTCAGAATTATTTCATCTAGCTAGCTAGGTCCCACAGGCGCATATATAATTATTTCTACATAGGTCATTATATATTTACAATAGGCCCCTGGAGCTGTACTGGGTTACATAGTATCTCCCTCCCACAAATCCTTGGCCTTCCTGGAACCTCAGAATGTGACCATATTCGGAAATAGGACCAGTGAAGATATAATTAAATTAGATTAAGATGAGGTCACAGTGAAGAACATGGGCCTTTACTGCCATATGACCGGTGTCATATGAAGAGAACAGACACAGACAGACACACGCAGGGAGGACGCCCCGTGACAACGGAGGCCGAGAACGGCGAGATTGGCGTGACGCATCTACGAGCCAAGGAATGCCAGGATTGTTGGCAACCACCAGAAGCTAGAAGAGGAAAGAAATGATCTATTCCCCAGGGCCTTCAGAGGACTGAGAACCTTATTTCAAAGCCCCCAGGCCGCAGGCACTAAATTTACATTGTTTCAAGCCCCCTCGCTTATGCTATTTTGTTGTGGCAATTGAATACCACAGCACTTGTTCCTGCCTCCTCCTTTTCTGCATTTGCGCCTTCGCCAACGCCCAGCAACCTCACTTCAACCGTTCACCCACGGAATGGGGTTATGAATTCATCCATCCAATGGCAAGCTGAAAGCACACTGGGTGCCTTCAAATGACAGTCATTTATTGTCTCCTAGTTTTGGAGGCTAGCAGTCCAAGATCAAAGTGTTGGCAGGGTTGGTTCTTCCTCAGGGATGTGGGAGAATCAATTCCATGCCTCCCTCCCCCAGCTCCTGGCAGAGGCTGGAAGACCTTGGTGTTCTTTGGCTTATAGAGGCATCACCCTAGTCTCTACCTTCACCTTCCCGGGACTTATTTCTTGTGCGATTCTATCCAAATTTCCCTCTTTTTTTTTATCCTCACCTGAGGACATTTTTCCATTGCTTTTAGTGAGAAAGAGAAAGAGAGAAACCTGCAACCCTTCGTTTATGGGCTGATGCTCCAACCAACTGAGCTACACCAGCCAGAGCAAAATTTTCCTCTTCTTGTAAAGCCACCAGACGTATTGGAGTGGAGCCTACCCCGGCGATCGATCTCATTTTAACTTGATTATATCTGCAAAGACCCTAATGTCAAGTGCGGCCATGTTCATAAATAGCACGGATTAAAACCGGAACATATATTTTGGGGAGGGTGGACACAGTTCTATCCACAACATATTGTATAGGTGAAAATCCATCTATTTGTATAATGAAATATTTATAATGTACTGTAGGTATTATACTTTTATTAAACCTATTAGTTTTTAGCCCTGGCTGGGTAGTTCAGGTGGTCAGAATATCATCCCAATACACCAAGGTTGCAGGTTCGGTCCCCACGCAGGGCACATCCAAGAAGCGACCAATGAATGCACGAATAAGTGAAATGACAAATGGATGTTGCTGTTTTTTCTCTATCTCAAATTTTTAAAAGAGGGTGCAGAGCCATGAGGATATCCAGAGCTCTGGATCCAGAGCATCCAGTCCAATGTCTTTTAAGCCACCCTGAGAGTTATGTGATCCTAACAGGAAAAACAGGAAGACTTGAGACCAGGGTGAATCAGGAGCACACAGGTCTTTCTTCCACCATTCTCCCCCCCCCCCCCATTGCATCTTAGAATCACCTGAGGAGCATATTATAAAAATCCCAATGTCTCAGCTCCACCCCAGACCAATTAACCAGAGTCTCTGAAGGTGGGGCGTGGGCACCATATTTGCCGAAAAGCTCCCCAGATGATTCTACCGTGCAGGTGGGAGGGGGAGCCGTTTGCCTTGGTTAGTGCTGAGTAATCACCTGAGGGGAGGTAATTATTTAATCCTTAAACCCAGGAGCCTGATCTATTGAATCACTGCTCCCCGCACCCTTTTGGAGTTACAAAGTCTCAGTCTGGCAGCTGTTCCGCTTAGCTGTTGCTGAAAAATGAACTGCCCCATGGGTATCTACCCAAGAGAATTGAATGCAGGGTCTCGCCAACTGGGGACCTGGCCTGCAACCCAGGCATGTGCCTTGACCAGAAACTGAACCGGTGACCTTTCAGTTCGCAGGAGGATGTCCAACCGATTGAGCAACCACACCTGGATGTTTTTCTCCATCCTTTCCCCTCTGTCTAAAAAAGAAATAAATAAAATCTTTTTTTAAAGATTGGCTTACAAGTATCTGAGTCCCTATTTTCAATTTCTCCGGGTGTATATGTGAGAGTGGAATTGCTGCCTCACATGGACCCAGAAATACGTCTGGGAATTTAAGGGCCTCAGCCATCAGCCAACATCGACTTGCCAGTCATGCGAGTCACCTTGGAAAGGGATCTTCCACCCTAAGCCATCTGCCGACTGCAGCCAAAAGTTACATCTGACTGCATCCTCATGAAAGACCTTGAACTAGAACTTCTCAAAGCCAAACTGTTTCTGAATTCCCAAAGCATGGAAATTATAGGAGATAATAAATGCTTATTGTTTTTTAGGTCCCTTATTTTTTTTGACAAAATTTTTAAAAAAGAATTTATCTGTTCATTTTTAGATAGAAGAGAAGAGAAGGAGAAAGAGAGGGAGGGAAACATCAGTGTGTGGTTGCCTCTCCAGTGCCCGGGACTAGGAACCTGGCCTGAAACCCAGGCATGTGCCCTGACTGGGAACTGAAACAGCAGCCCTTTGGTTCGAAGCCCATGTTCAATCCACTGAGCCACACCAGGGAAGGCAAGTCTCTTAATTTTTACACAATTTATTGCATATCATAACCAAAGAGTAGGCATTGGCCAAGTTATTTTTTAGATGATCTTGTGACCTTGGATGAACTGCTACCCCATTCTGAGTCCCAGAGTTGTAGTCTTAACAGGGGATGAAATGTCCATCTCTGAGGTACACAGAGTATGTACCTCACGAGGCAGGAGCAGATCACACAGTCAGAGCTTAATATACCAACAGCAGTATACCTCTTTTTATTTATTTATTTATCTTTAGAAGGGAAGAGGGAGAGAAATATTAATGTATGGTTGCTTCTCATGCATGCCCTGCTGGGAACTGGCCTGCAACCCAGGCATGTGCCCTGACTGGGAATCGAACCTTGATCGTCTGGTTCATCACAGGCCTGCGCTCAATCCACTGAGCTACACCAGCTAGGTAGCAGTATACCTCTTAATGATGTGGGCCAGTGACCCTAAATTTGAATCCTTGCCTCACTACTTCTAAGGCTTCATTCAGGCTACTAATACTTAACTTTGCTGGACCTTAGGCTCTTTAGCTATGAAGTGGAAATATTAAAGAATGTATCTAATTTTATAAGAATTATAGAAATCAGCCATATGAAGCTTATGTAAATTCCATGAGAAGGCAGCTATTTTCTTTTTCATTGCTCTATCGCTAGCGCAGAACAAGTGCTTAAGATGTATGTATTGTTTTTTTAATTTTATTTTTTAATTATATTTATTTATTTTTTAAGATTTTATTCATTTATCTTTAGAGGGAAAGGGGAGAGGGAGAGAAATATCAATGTATGGTTTCCTCTCCCGCGTCCCGTCCTGGCAACTGGCCTGCGTGCCCTGACTGGGAATCGAAGGGCTATCTCTTAGTTCGCAGGCCCTCGCTTAATCCACTGAGGTACACCAGTCAGAGGGAGAAGTATTTATTGAATACATAATAAAGAGGCACCTTGTATACAGAAGATACATGTTAGCTTTTACCAACCTACAAGGCCCTACATGATTCCTCACCTGCTTCATCGATTATTTAATCTCTTACCACTTGGCACCCCCTCACTCCCCTCCAACCACAATTCAGCTAGCCAGCACACTCCATCTTCAGGGCCTTTGCATCCACTGTTCCCCTGCCTGGGAAGGAGCCATCTTCCCATTACCCACATAGCTTGTTTCGTCATTTTCTTCAGATTGCTAATCAATGTCTCCTTCCCTAAGAGACGTTCCCGGGCCATCCCTGTCACCTGGTAGTCTCATACCCTGCTTTATGTTTCTCCAAAGCATTTAGCACGACCTGATTTATATTTATTTGGGGGGGGGGGCCTCTTCAAATACGATAAGCTCCATGAGGACAGGACCTGGTCTATTTTATTCCTCACTCTACTTCACGACACCCCCAAAGGCAGGTCTGCAGCAGGCAGTCCCTTAAATACTTGATGGGTGACTAGTCTCACAAACATCACTTGAGTATCTTCGTGGGGGCCATAGGCCCGGCTCTTGTCGGGCCAGGATTGGCTGGATCATCTGTCACGTGACTGACAGTCGCCTTTGAAGCTGGAGAGGTCCACGTGGTCTCAGGCTGCACGGGCGGGCCGGGCCTCCGAGGAGCTACTGCGCAGGCTCAGTCTCTGGCGCAAGCGCAGACGCGCCCGGGGTGTGTGGCCGGCGGCAGTTGGCGAGAGCAGACCGGGAGTGCAGGCTGCGAGAGCCGGCGCCATGGTGGAGAAGGAGGAGGCTGGCGGCGGCATCAGCGAGGAGGAGGCGGCGCAGTATGACCGGCAGATCCGTCTCTGGGGATTGGAGGCCCAGAAACGGTCAGGGCTGGTGCAATTTGTGGGATTGAGGGGTCTGTCTGCAGGGGGCGTCCGGCCTGAGGCGTTTGCGGCCCTTCAGGAGCGGAGGGTATAGTTTGAAGAGAGGAGGCGGGAATTCTGTATCCGGGGATGGTAGCCGGCCGGGGACGACTGCAAGGGTTGGTTTCCGGAAGGTGTGGGATGCGTTATGTCCCAAGGGGTGAAATGCTCATTCTGAGTGATTGGAGGCCTCTGTGAGGGGGCGGTGGAGCCCTAAGGATTAGGAGGATTTCAAACTTAGCGAGGCGGAAACCCGAAAGGGGAGATGGTGGAGTTTGGGTCCGGGGTGGGGACTTAGGGAATAGGAGGGGCCGGGGATGCCGGGAAAAGATGAAGGGAGGGGGCGTAATTCATTCATTCCTAGATAGTGGGGACCCGTTCTTTGCTGGACGCTGCAGAAGACTGGCGAACCAAACATGCATTTTACATTCTTGTGGCTCCTAAGGGGTGGGCCAGTCTGAAAAAAGGAGGATTTTGGAGGAGTTTGGGATCCACGTTATTTTTAGTGGCAGTCGGGAGAGGCTGGAGGAGTCTAGGGGAGCTGGAGGTACCTGGGGAGGTGGCTTGTGTGTAGATACGGGGATGAGTCCAGAGAAGACAAGCCACTGAGTCTGGGCTTGCCTGGGGTGTTGAGGAATAGCTACCAGAGGAAATGATTTCTTTGAAAGAGGTGATCAGATATTGATTTGATCAGATGTTTATCGATCACAGCCACTGTTCTAGGCGGAGAATATAGATCCCTGGACCAAACAAACTCCTTCCTCGCATGGAACTTATATTCCAGTGTTGGTGACAAATGTGAATAATATAACTTTAGGTAGTGCAACTTCCCGGGATTAAAATAAAAGCAAGATAAGAGGATTGATAAAGGACGGTGCAGTGGAGAGCTGTTTTGATGGGGTGGCCAGGGAAGACCTCTCCAAAGGGGAGACATTGTGCCTCAGCCCTGTCTGGAAGGACCTTCCTGCCATAGGGAACAGCAGCTGCGCAGTCCTGGAGACCAGGGATGCTTGGCAGATTAAACAGGACGGCTGCCACCAAATGAGTGGGAGAGCAGCTTTTTAATTTGTTACTCTATGTGTGCTGGGAAACTGGTTGGAGAGTTTTGAGTAGGAGTAACCTAATGTGATTTCTGCTTCAAAAGAACCATTCTTGCAGTGTGGAGAGTCGGTTGAAGTGGGCAGAAGTGGAAATAAGGGTTCCAGTTAGGAGACTACTGCAGTATTTCCTGCAGTAATCCACTTGAGACACAGGTAACGGGGTCAGGAACTCTTGAGAAGGGGTCGACTAATGTATTCTGGATCTATTTTGAGGATACCAGGGGCCAGGATTTGCTGAAGGAATCAGAGTGCAGGGTAGGAGAGGCAGAACTCAGGGATGACTGAGACTGGGCCTGGAGACATAGGTGGGGCTCACTGATTTTAGCATCTGCAGTTGGAAGGGTATGGAATGTTTGGGAGGTGATGGTTTTTCTGAGGGAGTGGAGAGGTATTGAACTTGGGAGAGCCTGAAAAGGGTTGGCTGAGAGTCCTGGGAAAGAAGGAAAAAGTAATCTAAAATTTGGGAAATATTAGTAGCTAGTCTTACACATTTTTCTCCTCCCCCTTTTTTCCCCTATTAAAAAAAGCTATTTATTTGTCAGGGGAAAGGAGGGAGGAAGAGAAACATCGACCACTTTCGTCCTGTATGTCCCCCAGCTGACTGGGAACTGAACCCAAGACCTAGGTGGGAGCCCTGACGCGATGGAACCAGTCACCTTTCCCTCTGCAGCATACGCCCGAGCCACTGAGCTGGTCCGTGCTCCCACTTTTTGTTTTGTGTCATGTCCATTTGTCAACCGAGTCTCGCAGCAGGGCTCTGGACTAGGAAGCCACACCAGGGAAAGCAAGTCTCTTAATTTTTACATAATTTATTGCATATCATAACCAAAGAGTAGGCATTGACCAGGTTATTTTTTAGATGATGCTGTGATCTTGTTCTGAGTCCCAGAGTTGTAGTCTGTAACAGGGAATGAAATATCCACCTCTGAGGTACACAGAGTATGTACCTCATGAGGCAGGAGCAGATCACACAGTCAGAACTTAATATACCAACAGCAGTATACCTCTTATTTATTTACTTATTTATCTATCTTTAGAAGGGAGGAGGGAGAGAAATATCAATGTATGGTTGCTTCTCATGCGTGCCCTGCTGGGAACTGGCTAGTTCCCAGGTCCAGCAAAGTGAAACAGTGATTTTTCTTCCCTTGTGCAGGCAGGAAGGTTGCGTCACAAAGCAGATTGACTTGCCTCTGAGGGAACGTTGGGTGTGAGAAGAAAACTTGCGGGCCTGGGGCTCTTTTGTGAAGTGCAAGGTAGTCTGGGGTTGTGCAGATGGCATTCTGGCTCCAGTGTCATCTGTGACATAGATGTTGGATGAGCAGCACTGGCAGGAACCTGGAAGGGAGAGTAGTCACATCAGGAAGGGCTGAGCTCACACAGTCTAGAGGTTACATGGACTGTCTTACACAGTTGTTGCACATTTTTGGAAGTTAGTTGCCAGCGTTGAAGAATCTGGAGAATTGGCTAAATTTGGGACAGTTTGAGCATCAAAAAGAATAACATCAACTTCATTTAAAAATACTCAAATAACTTAGAATTCCTAAGACCAAGGTAATATTCAAACAAAAGAAATAAAAACCTTTTTGGAGGTGATCATTAATAACGTGCCTTCTGATGTGAGCAAATCACAGTGCGTCATCTTTGGAGATTCCCTGTTCAGTATCTGTAACTCTAATCATGCCTTTAGAAAACAGAGGAACAAATTGAAGGACACCGTGGAGGTAAATGATACATTTTACAAGACAATCGCAGAAGCTGGTATCTTGGGAAAAACAAGTGAAGCCATTGTTGTGTAAGAATAAAGAGGCGGAGCGCCCGACCAGTGTGGCTCAGTGGGGTTGGGTGGTGTCGGGAAACAGAAAGGTCACTGCTTTGATTCTGGATCTGGTTCCGCCCAGGTTGCTGGGGGCAGGGGGCGGTGGCCTGTGGGGCAGGTGAGAGGCCGCCCATTGGTTTCCCTCGCACATGCGCATTGATGGCATGCTCCCTCCGTTTCTCCCTCCCCATCCCGTCTCTAAAAATGAATAAAGTCTTTAAAAAATAATAAAAACCAAGAGATGGAGCCAGATGCAAGGCATGAATCGGGACTGGGTCCTGATTCAAAAACAACACAGAATAAAACATTTTTTAGAGAATGGGGGAAATTAGAACATTCAGTCCTATTAGATGATATTTGGGAATTATTTCCTAGATGTGCTAATAGTGTGGATGGAGAATGTCCTTTTTTGGAGATGCACGGTAGAAGCATGGAATGCCATGGTGTTTGTTTACGGGTAAAGCCAATAGGGCAAAATGTTACTTTTTCTATTTTTCTGTATGTTTGAAATTTTTACTAATGAGAAGTTAGGGGAAAGTGTGAGCCCTCACCCTCATCTAGAAATTTCGTATAGAGTCCCACTCAGAGTTTCCGATTTCTGTCCATCGAAAAATGGAAAAGTCAGACACCCCCACATTTACTTTGCCGGAGCAAAGTGGAGGCGGCCTCTTTTACACAGAGCATGGCTTCTCCACTTTGCCATCCTCTCCACAGTTCAGCTTCACTTGTAAATACATCATTTGGCCCCTGTAAGCCTGTGAATTTGCATCTCTTGCTGTGGTGCATAACCCATTTTATGGATGTGGTTCACGAAGGGAGCCAGCTCTCCCCATACAGCGCACTGAGTGAATGGAAGTAGGATGGGTACGGAGTGGCTAGTTCAGGTTGACTGCTATTTCCGTAACGGCTCATTTCCCACCGGAGGGGCACATTCTTTCAATCAAATTGACATAAAGGCTGCCAGCTGTGTGTTCTCCAGAATGTGCACCTCCTTGGTTTTGGTGCTGCCTTTCACAACAAAGGCATACGGTAGTTTATCCCCGTATCTGAGAGAGGAAGGTGGGGGAGGACTGGAAAGAGGGAAGTAGATTATAAGCCCTGTTAGAGCAAGCAGTTTATACGTGTTCAATAATTAAGATGTGGGTTCTTACTGGTCTCTTACATTTCCAACGCTTGCGGGCGTGGAAACATTGAGATATTTGTTGAGTGAATGAAATGATTGCACACCATAAAGAGCTAGGAAGCCAGAAGACCTGGGTTCAGTTCCCGGCTCTCCCTAAAGAGCTCCTTGGGTGAGTCGCCCAATTCTTGGCCTTAGAATCCACATCTGCAAAAAGGAAGGATGAGTGTAACCAAACTTTTTTTAAAGATTTTATTTATTTATCTTTAGAGGGGAAGGGAGGGAGAGAAATATCAATGTATGGTTGCCTCTCATGCATCCCCCGCTGAGAACTGGCCTGCAACCCAGGCACGTGCCCTGACTGGGAATGGAACCGCAGTTGTTTGGTTCGCAGGCCTGCGCTCAATCCACTGAGCTACACCAGCCAGGGCTTTGTATAACTAAATCTTTAAGGACTCTTTCAACTGAAATTTTGACTTTACGAGAAAAGACTATAAAACCTTCCCTATTTTTGAGCACTTGTTACCCACTGCTGTTGAACCCAACACTGCTGGTGGTTCAGAAGCCCCACAGGTGGCTCCGTAGGCACCACCCATTTGCATTGAAGTGACCAAGCATGTGCTGCGCACCGGTCATTGCCTCTAAGGGCCGGTTTATTCCGGGGGGGGGAGTGGCAAATAGCTGAGTGTGAATCTCAGCTTGGAAACTTCTGAGTTTTTTGAACCTCAAACATTTCTTCTCTGTGCTTCGTCTTTCTCATTGATCCAGTGGAGACAGTATCATCCACCGGATGAGATTGTGGAGAACTAAATGAGCAAATGGATGAGTAGTGTCTACGCATAGAAGGCGTCTGGTAAATTATAGCTGCAATTATTTGACAAGTATAAATTACCACCAACAAAAGAAGGGAGGCCAAATAGGAAGT